GAGTTCCATTACAATTTATAATAAGGAATAAGCAGACTTCTCTGATACGCATTCCGGCGTTCAACGGGGTGATAATGAAACTGTATATGCTTATGTCGGTACTGCAAAACACACCTTTATAACTGAAACACGCTTGCAAACCCTAAAGCGTATTTCCCCCCCAAATGAAACCACTGTTTTATATAACTATTACAATCATTTTTATTTTGATTTGCACTTGCCCTGATGTGCAGTGTACTGCACAGATCGATGTCTCTGCCCCAAAAACGTACAACTGAAGAAAACCATACACCAGAAAATTATTGTCAGAAAAACAGGGGTGCAAAGCCCAGGGAAAAAGCAACAATACTGGCATACCCAATTATTCCTCAGTGAGCAGCGTCCTAAAGAAACACATCACATAGCAAAATAGTATGTGTTAAATTAGTAAGTGCTAGTAAGCACTTACAGATAAGTCATTTAAAAAGATCAGATCAAGAGTTCACATACAGATCCTAATCTTAAACTAGTGCCTGTACGTAACTAGTCTGGGGAGAGAGAAATGAAATAAAATATTTACCAGATTGCTTCTTACCGGTAAAAGCACATACTTGTTTTCTGCAACTGAAGCAACCTTCATGACTAAATACTGACTGCTTTCTCTCTGCATAAAAACATAATGCACCATGGAACTCTAAATTCAGCATTAAAAAAAAATTAAGGAGAAAATACCAACTAATTCTTGCTCATGTGCATGGCTCAGAAAGTTCTGACCTGAATAGCAAAATGAACAAACCTCAAAGAAACAATTTCATACTGCTACATTGGGAGCAACTGAAATGGTCTCAAAATCCAAAAGGAATAATACACATTTTTTTCCCCCTGAACAGACAGATGAAGTTCATGCTTCAGCTCAGCTTTTTTACTTCCTGTCTTACTCTGCTTCCCGAATACATACTTTGTCTTTCACTAGATACCCAGTCATTCAGGATAGCTAATTGCTAGCATAAATAGAGGGGATACTTTATGAAGCTCATTGCTTTTGTGACCCAACACCTAAAAAAAAATAGGAATTATGAAGAATTTCCTTTTTCTCCCACCATGACTGTAAAAGGTAACTTTATAAACTTAATATTAACATGTTTACTTGATTTATTCTGATATACAATTAATTTCACATACAGTAAACTTAAAAAAAAATACTATTTGCAGGAAAAAACTATAATTTCTGTAGATCTCTCTGTAATTTCTGTAGAAACAGTATTCCACGATGCGCATTACAGTTTAAGGCGGGAGAAGAGAACAGATAGAAGAACCTTCTCTAGAGCTGCTATGCTGTTACAGTAAGCAGGTCTCACTTCAATTTATATGAACATCAGGGCATATGTAGTGTACTATAAATGCAAATCTGAATTCCTTTGTCAGAACAAGGAAACTTAATAGACATGGAGAGATATTTTATGAGTACAGTGGCATATAAGGATTCTATAGAAGAACATTTTTGTCTCAACTCCAATGCGAGATGATTCCAATTTTTTTCTAGCAGTATCAGAAATGAAAAAAACAAAACAACCACCCAACAGAAAAACAAGAGAGGATGACAACAGAGCTCACTAATATATGTAAGGACATAGGTGGAACAACCTCGCATTGTCATCACGTAATCCAAAATTAACTTAGAAGAACTCTGGATGTACTTTAAGATGTTGAATCTGAGGCTATACAACTGAGGATTTTCCAAAGAATTAGACATGATATAACTGGGGTCTTTTGAGACAGTCGACATTGATCACTTTTTCTTTTCCTCTGTGAGGTCAAACATTAGAACCTCCACTGACTACAGTGAAGCGTGAATTAAGCTAACTCACTACTTCTGAGGACACAGTAAACTGTATTAATTCATCACAGTTTCAAAGGACAAGAAGTTACTGGACATTATTAGTCTACATTTGAGGAAGAAAGTCTTTTCACCTATGTTCAACTAACTACTTTTTGAAATTTTGATTTCCTGAAGGAATGCAAATATTCTTTCAATAAATACACTGATGGAAAATAAATATTCTGCACGTACAGATATAGGCCTGATCCATCCTCTGGTCTGGACCTCAATTTAAAAAAAAAAAACAAAAAAACACCCCACCCACACCCCAGTTACCTTTTCGCAACTTCCTGACGTACAGTATGACACTGGAAAAGCAATACGCTCCAATCTTAAACAGCCTTATGGACATATACTAGTCTCTATAATTAAGATGTGCATGGCTTATATGGCAATTGTGTAGCGCTTCCTTCTTTCACATGTAGAGCCTCACCTTACTCAGGAGGATTGAAGCTGAAGGTTGTAGGAAATAGCTGGCTACAAAGAAAATGAGTAGCAGGCTGCAAATTCACGGTGAACTTGCAGTGAAAGATACAGAATTGAGGCTTACAAAAACACAAGAGAGGAAAATATACTTTTTTCAAGAACAGCAGTATACTGAACTTTTAAATGAACTTCTGTAAAATATGTTGATGACTAGGACTTGCGTTTGCCATATGTAGAGATATGAGGGAGAAAAAAAAAAAAAAGGCATTAGCCTGACTAAAAATATCTTGCCCGAAAAGTTCAAGGTCAGCTATGATGACAAGGTTTGCCATTTTGCAAGAAGAAACAACTCAACCATCTGTTGAGGGGAAAAAAGCCTATCTGAAGAATACGATGATGAACTACTGAAGTTGCATACACATACTGTTACTTGCTCTTGCAAATGTGTACTGCTGGCCGTACATACATGTGGCTTAATGTCCAGTAACATTCCACAATTCATCAATAAACAGAGGGGGAAGCAAGCATTTGTACACAAGGAACGAAACAAATTCCCTGTTAGATAAGCATCTCTGATGATAAGCAAATAATTATTGTATGTTACCTTTAAGAATTAAACTTTTTCTACAAAGTTCCCAGCTTAAACATCTGCTCCTTTTTCCTAACCCAAAAATTAGGACACCTTATAATCTTAAACCTTTGCTTACATTAAGGCAATGGTCATAGCATTGAGACAGACAAGTTTTCCCAAATAATCCAGTATCTTGGAATGACCCTCCTGATAATCTGTAGGACTCAAATTTTTACTTTGGATTTCCAATCCAAGGCTTTTTTTTTTTTTTTTCTTAAAAGGTGGAAGAGAAGAAGAAAACATAACAGGTAAGGGAAGTGCTTACATTCAGCAATTAATGGTTATCTTTTAACTTCCAATTTACATATTTCTGTATAGTCAACTGTACTCTTTTCTAGCTGATTTCAGTAACACAGTGCAGGCCCCAATTCTGAAAATGTCCATGCACTTTACCTCCTACGCCTAGGTAGTCCTATTGACTTGAGGAGAACGACTTGGACATAGATGGCCAGTGTTCTTCCTAATTAGATTTCTTCAAGAACATGTACAAGATTTGCCTTGCTAGAAATAGATGTAAAACTGAAATTTTACAAATTCAGAAAAAGCTGTTGGCACCAAAAGTATTCAATAAAAGGTATAAATAGAAAGAAGAAACTAATATTTGAAGTTGGTAATATTTGAGTGCTGAACAAGGAGGCACAGTAAAGGGGTAATTCTTATAAACAGACAAAATTAGTCAATGAAAAGCCTCTTTTTTAAACAAAGTGACTACGTTTGTAGTTCTCAAACCATTTATACAAAATACAAGAAAGATTTAAATATGGTCAACCTCACCTTGCACATCCCCAATTTGCCTCAAATAGCACAGGTATCATTCATCTGATCATTAAGAGGGAAAGAAGTGAAGTTAACTCATTGGCAGATCGTATTTCACAGCCTTTAAAAGATTAATGCCCAGAAGTGATAACATATACTAAACTCCAGAGGCTTAGCGAAAAGGTATATACGCTTATATGCTAGCGTACCCTCCTTTTACAATATAGATAAAGCTGAAGAGAGCTTACTGAAGATTTGCTTCATCAGACAGAATGCACCTGTGCTATCACTGAAAAAAATAGACTAATTAGAAACAAGTTCATCCACTTTGGTCTGCAGGTCATTTTCCAGAAATTCTGGTTAAGATGACACAATCCAAACAAAACTAAGACTCTCACACCTTCCCCAATCTCTTTGTTTTTTTAAGTGACCTTACAGAGCTTGATTTATCTTCCATTAGTTAGCACAGCAGTTATCAATTCTGTAGAAGTGAAATCCTGGTAACGTTCTTAGTTGTATATGGGACCCAGTTCTGCAGTGTACTGGAACTGCTTCTCCAAACAGGCCATTTTGGCACAAACTCCATTAACAGGAAGTAACGATTTCCCTAATGTAAAATGTGTGTTTCTCTAAAAACCATCCACCCTTAAAGATCAGGTTCCATGCAACTTTGGTCACAGAGAAATTCACAAGGTCCTAAAGCCCCTTTAGTATTTTATTGTACTTTCAAGTAGAAAGCTTTTGAAAAGGAGCATAAACTGGAGGCTTATGGGAGTAAATTGTTCAGAGCTATGCTTGCGTAACATTATTCACGCATGGTACTTCTAACCCTGACCAGTCCATTACACTTTCACTTGAGGCTCCTACAACTTTTACATCTGTTCACATGTATCAGTGAATGTCTCTTTAGCCAGAAAAGTGTAAAGCAAACAGATATAATACCATCTCTTACGCATGATAATTGCTTTTAATGTCTATAAACAACTTTAAGGAACAAGAACCTGAAAAGAAACTCTGAAATCCAAAGAAAGGCCTCTCTCTTTCCCCCCCCCCCCCCCCCTTTTTTTTTTTTTTTTAAACATTTGGCCTTTGTGCTTTCCACATCACAGCTTGAAAATATGTGAATACAGGTAAAATATTACTGAAATCATAATTCATTAAATAAGAGTTTAATATGCTAAGCCACAACTCAAGTTTTAAAAAGAATACTATTAAAAGTATTTTGTTTCAACAGTGTATTATGTGAAAGTGAAACAAAATACACATTTACTTAATGGTAAATTTTAGTGCACTCTAAATGATTAACTATCTTCAAAAATACACTTCTCATGATTTTATATCAGACAGTTTATAATTAAAAGGTTAGAACAATTTGTTTGGGTTGAAAAGACATTACAAAACAAAGCACTTAATTATTGAACAAAATATTACAGACAAGTATTTCAGATATTTGAAATCACCTTTCTTAAGTCATAATTCAAAGACAGTGACACCTGTCGATAGGGGCCAAAAAGGCAGACAAACCTCAAGTATTTTTTTTTAAAGCAAAGCTGCAACTACAAAAATGGACAGAGCTAAACAAAACAAACATCTTGAAACGAGTATTTTATGAAGTGAGGTATGGTAGTGTTGAAGTGCTACAGTGGATTTCTGCATATTCAAACTTATTTCAGGTCAACTACTTTGAAGTTTGAGATCAGCGGATCACTGACTGTTTGTTGCAATCTTTTGTCATATGACCTCTTTGTTTAAATGTCCAACGGCACAGAGAAGATACATTCAAATTTAGCAAAAACTAGCAACACGATCAGATATGAATAAGCATATCTGGCAATTAGAAGGCAAACTGTAAGTAAAAATGCAAGCATACAACTTATTCATAATAAATACATTTTCAAGCATGTAACATTATCAATATTTTAAAAAGAATTTAAATAATAAATGCAACTATTTTATACAGAACTGTACCATTTATTATACACACAAGTATATCAGTTCCCTTTGTTTACAAAGGCTGGTTACAGATAATGTGGAATGTTACAGTACCATCTTGCATAAAATTTTAGTACAATTCGTACTTCAAAAAAGGGTGCAAAACACCAGCCTAATAAATCTGACTGAATCGAAATATTTTTTAATTACATCATTAACACATACACAACAAGCTGTACATAAGCCCACTTTTCAATCACCACTTCAAGATACTGTAGCAAGTACATTAGATTATAAATGATTCCACTATTCAGTTAAATTTATTAAAGGTTTGCACTGCTACTCACTCTGGAACCTTTTGAGATATAGTTTGTATTCATGAATTACTGAGCTCTTGTTAGTGCAGTTAAAAGGCAGTCAACACTGGTTGCCAAGTACTAGCCACAAGAGATTTCCTCAGGGAAAGATCACCTGGGAACAAACATTTTTGGATACTTTTTTCTTTCAAAAATTAAAAAAAAATTTTTTATGGGGTCAAGACTCTCCATTCTGTACCTTGGATGCTGGTGGATGCATGAAGTCCTTAAAGGGAACCAGTGCCTCTTTCAGAGCAGAACACACTTCTGAGGAGGAGCAGGTGATACACTCTACTAAAGTTGGATATAAGGCAATAACTTGTGCCCATGTGTTAGCATCAACTGTAATGAAGAAAAGAACAGAGTAAATCACTTACTGATTTCATACAACATTAATATGTTTATTACAGAAATAAAGAAAGCTGTTAAAAGCTGGAAGGAGTGGGAGTAACCTAATTCTGTAATGTGTCCACTAGCTCTCCGTATGAGAAAGCAAGCAGCAGTCTTGGCAATCATTGCCATATACTGATTAGGAGAAGCATTTCTCTCGTCCCAGGAAGAGGAATATGGGGAACGGTCCAGCTGAACTGAATTGGCTACTCTACCCTTTAAGGTAAATGACCACCAAGGTAGCACTTGAGTTGCCTTCAGGGTACACCAAACAGCTTTGTGTGTTCTGGCATAGTCTCGCCTTCAAGCTTTTTGTCATTAGACTTAAAAACCACATTATAAATAAATGCCTACTCACTGATGCTGTGAGCGAGGCATCACGTACTTCAGGAAACTCACCTGCCTATGTTTTTCTAGAAAGGACAATTTGTTTTGGGAAGCCCCCCCTTTGCTCATAGTATCAAAAACAGGGAGACGGAGGGAAGTGATGGGTATGCAGTTCTGTCAGAGTTGCAGAGTCCAGTGCAACTAACTTAACAAAGAGTCAGTATTAGGCAGCATAATGATATTGCCTAATAAATAAGCATCTGATAGCAGCCTGAAACTTTGAGAAAACAGGAACAACCAGGTCATATGGACAGACGAATACCTATTTATCCAGTACAGCCTTTAAATAAAAAAAAATTAATCTATTGTCTCCTGACTGCAAATTTTCCGGTGGGAACCCTCTATGCATACAGTAGGTACAGCTTACAAGAGATGCAAGATTCTTTATTATAAATGAAGTTATGATCTTGCATTTAACTCAGCCCTTTAAATACATCATACGACCATCTCCTTGGACATCAATGGGCTAAGACATCTTTCCTTCACCAAGAGAGAAGCATGAGAAGTGTTTGTGGCACTGTCATTTCTGTTTTGTCCAAGACAGTGGCAACATCTCTAACTCTTCATTCTCATAGATTAAAAAAAAAAAAAAAAACACAAACCAACAAATAAGGTAAGCTCCTAATCAGTAAGTCCAAATAACACTGTTCTCCCAAATCAAAGAACATACATTTTGCTTTATTAGGGGTAATAAAACAAAAAAGTAATAGTATTATATTTTAAAGATTTATCAAAGACATCTAATACATTTTTATTTTAAAAGGCCTTGACGACGCTGCATTAAAATACTTTCCAGGAGTTTCTTCCCCTTGGGATACTAGAACAAAGCAAGATAATGTTTAAACTAATCAAAATGCCAATGAGTTACTATAAAATAACACAAAGTTTCAAAAGCAAAATTAAAGCCATCAACGATATTCACTTTTGTGTCAGCTTCAAATGTGCATTGAAAATTCACAAAATTGTGTGAGAGCTTCAAATAAAAAGAACGTTAGCTTGGATAAAAAGTAAGAAAGGATCCTGAAGAAAAAACCTAACATTATTCCATTAAAAATAATTAACGAGACTCACACTTGTTATACGTGCTGTTTTAAACAGGACTCTTGCTCATTCATCAGAAAGGCCTAAGTTTTTTTGCTTTATTATTGCTCCAAATTATTATACTGGGTATAGGGGCAGGAGGTACTACAACAGAAAGGGAGGGAAGGCAAGACTTAAGTACGAACAGCCCACCCATTCGTTTAACTTGTACACCCCTTTAACTGCAGATTGCATCTACAGGAATGAGATCCATAGCAACTTAAAGGACACCATAAGGAGAAAAAGGATCTAGCAAGAATAGCAAATATAGTTACATATATTTATATTCAAGAATTCTATAATATCTTAGAGTCGGGTTTTTTTAGAAGATATCAAGCTCATTTTAATAAAAGACATCAGAAATGGAAATTTTCTACTTTATTAAGCACATCTTAGAATTCTATACCGTTAGACAAACCGGAAAAAAAACTCCCCCTGGCCAGTCTACCTGGCATCTACATATACACAGAACTGCAAAATACTGAATCTTATAAATTATACTTCCCTGTCCAATCTGTGTGAAAATTATTACAGGAAAGAATAAACATGTCTACATGGCAGATATAACTTTATCTTGTTTATAACCATGTTGTTTAACCAACGCTTACCATTTTCAGGCTGAGTTTTTTTAAGCGAATCTATGAGAGTACTGACAGCTTTCAAAACAAATATGATTTCTGTTACTTGTTGCCTACAAAAGGAAAAAATGCAAACAATCCATCAACCACACAATTTAATCTCAAGAATACAAATTTCCTATGAAACTTACATAAAATAAAAAAGACAAAAATATATTAAAAACAGCTGCAATGAAGCCTACTGAAAAAGGATATTACGTGATTACAGTTATTATTGGTCTTTAACTTTTCCACCGTCATAGCTGTTGCCAACTAGGATGGCTTTAAATTTAATATAAGAAACAGTAACAGTATACCTATCTCAATCTGAAAATACTGATGTATGTGAATAACTTCAAAATGAAAATAATCAATTCCATCAGTCATTTACTGAAATACCTTGCGTATTTAAACCATCAAAACATCTCAGCTAAGTAAAACATAAATAAGTTCACACTTTAAGGAATTTACTATATTTGACCTATATTTAGGTCAAATTTTTTGTTTCAACAACAATTACTTGAGAAATGTTTCACAAGAGCGCTATTTGGATGTTTTATTTTTCTTTGGAGGGGACTCGCCACCTCCCTGTTTAGAAACTAGTACCCTCGATTTCCTAAAGATATTGGACATACCGTGGAAGAGGACATTTGCCACTCAATCTCTCATCTTCTATGTAGCGATGCAATACATCCTGTGACCTTTTTAAAAGCACAGAAAGTGCCATTCTAGAGATGTAGCCTTCCTGAGGAGTTGTGACTTTATTACTGAATGAAAACTGGAGCAGTGTTTCAAAACACACCTTAGAAAATTCCTCTCTCATTCGAATATCTATTTCTGCTTCTGTCAAAGTAAAATGTTTTATTTAATTGTGCAACATGCATGCTAGTACGCTAAATATTGCATTTCAATCAGTTAACTTTTTTGCAAAACACAACTAAAATATCACTTCTATAGAATTAAAAAAGATTAACAGTGATTTGAACAAATATTAAGAACGGATTCTAAGAAACTGGACAGCAATCCTAATAGTCCCCAAAATAAAAGCTAAAATATGCAACACAATTATGAACATGAGTCACCCAGTTACCTTGCTTTAATGACACAATACATAAAATCAGTTTAGAAAAGCAACCCTGGTTCTATAGCACAAGTACCAATATTTGGTACTGTACCACCCAAATGTTTTTCTCTGTAATGGTTTATGTCCACTTTCTTCATCTTTTTCCAAAAGCTGTAAGTGTTTTTTTTTTTCTTGAAGGCAGAGAATATACCTTGTTAGTCACACACCATGCAGTCATGCTAAGGTCATTTAATTTTTAAGAATAGGATTTTATGAGTGTCTTACAATTATCTGAAATTATTATCAGGACTATTTCAACTAGCAATAAAGGAAAACAAACTATGTAGGAAGTCCAGAAAAATAGAAATACAAGTACAATAACAAAGAAATACAAGTACAATATTGAACATGGTACTGACCAAGAAGTAAAGAAATAATTAAAAAAAAAAAAACCTACTCTACAACTTCCATGAGATAAAATATAACTTATAAAATCAGTGATTTATACTGAATGTGTGTCACGAAGCTTCAAGTTTTTACAAGAATATGGTCATTTTCTTTACTTTCTATTAGATTTAAACATCATTTTCTGTATCTTTTGTCATTCAGGTACCATACCTGTAAATGAAGACGACTGAGAATGTATTGAGCCTTTATTGAGCATAGTCATTATTTGACCAACAAATTCCTTAGGAATAAAATTAGCATATGGCAGTATCTCTGTGCTGATAAGCTGCACCACCTAAAATAAATTAGATGTATTAATTTTCTGAAAGTTAAAGTTATAATTCCAGTACACAGAAGACAGATACATTAAACAAAATACAACGTTCAAGAGAAATCTGAATATCTATGCCTAATGAAACTTAAAAAAAAAACAAAACCTTCCAACGTTAACTTTTACAAATTTACAAGTACATCCAAAAATTGTGGACTTGAGCTACTATTTTTGAGGGAGGTTTCTGAAGCAGTTATCATTTAGATTTGCGCTGACATTTGAAATAGGTTCTTCAAACTGAAATTAGTTTTGAAAAGAGATCAGACATTCAGAACTAACCTCCATCCCCCTGTCTCCACCCAATTCAACATCCTCACTAGACGTTAAGACACATGTCACGTGCTTACAATGTGACATTTGCAAACCAGTGCAAGAAAGGTAATCATCTAAACAGTTCAGAGCAGCACACATTAACCAAAATGCTTTAAATTCTTGGCCTTGATGCTTCCATTCAGGAACAAAGTGGGTTTAGATCTCTGTATGTTAATGTACCAGACCTCAGAGTCCTGCTCTCTGCAGACAGCACCTCTCCTGCTTTTTATCCTGAAGTCTTTATGGTCCAGCTGCCACTCTGGAGAGATGACAGGAGATCAAGCCCATAGATATCACCACCTCTTCTCTGCAACTCCCTTTCCTGTGTACTCCTACGCCCTGGTCTGCTGCATCTCTTGGTCTTGGAGCGAAAGGGGACCAGCCCCTCTTCATTTCAAATATCATCATCTCTAAATTTTCTTCAGTGTTACTCAACCAAATAATATTTTCTTTACAATCACAGTGGTCCCTGTACAGCACAAACATGACATCACTTCTCCATTTATGCACGTGTTCTCTCTATACGAAAAAGCATTTGGAGGGTAAAAATCATCACTGACTGAATACCATGCCTCAACACAAAAGGCATTCACTTCAGGTTTGACTGTCAGCTTCTTCCATTCATTTATAATTACCCATATAATTGCTGGACAATAACATAAAGAATAAAAATCAGATAATGGATTAGAAGCAGAGACACATTCTATTTATCCACTTGGGGCTGTCTTGAACTCCAGATCACAACAAGAAGAAATTTTTGGCATGCAGCTTCCTACTTTTTGCAAAACTTCGGCTTATGAATTTGTTGTCCGTTTTGTTTTCCAAAAGGAAAAAGTATTACAGAGAAATACTGAATAGATAGTTTTCAAAAATTATTTCAGAAGTACATGCAATCTGTTAATGTCACTACCTTATACGTTTCATAGTATAACATAATTTTCTATAGTCTCCTTACCTCAACATCAATACTCTCATTCTTCTGAAATTCTTGAATTGAGAGATTATCAGGAGGTGTACTAAAAATAAACATACTACATTATACTTCTAAATTCACAAAATATGTCAGGAGATAACTATGAGGGGAAATGCAATACATTTAAAGAAAAGCTATTACATGCATCAACTTTGCACTGTGTATGATAATGATCAACAGTTTTGAATAAAATATTTCATGAATAATGATGCAGAAAATAGTTTGAAAGAAAAAAAGTATAGTTATTAAGATTTAAGAGTTAGAACTGATGGACTGGGTTAAGGATTTAAAATACCATCATTTTTCATACGCGTATAAATAATCTCTTTTGTCTTATATATTCAGAAGTTGCAATACCTGCTTAGCTTAATGCATGAAGGTAATGCCAAGGGATGACAGTTTATTATTTTTTTACTTTTGCCCCAATTTTCTCATAATCTTCCTAAGATTATGACAAATTTTTGATTTTTAGCATTATATTTGAAAAAACTTAATTTTATATCATTTTCTTTCTGTATTAATGAAACACTTTTCTCATTCATGGGACAATACTTTGTCTCTTTTTTTGATAACTCAGTGTGATACATATGTTCTCATTCTTAATGCATTTTATAAAGAGAGAATCCCATTTTATAAATAATGATTTTGAAGAATTTCAGAACTTTTTGTCATTTATCTACTATATACAGAAATTTATTTACAGAAAAAGTGTCCAGAAGTTCTTCAGTCATGAAATTTACCTACTGCTTTACAAGATCTCACCTTACCTTCTTGTAACTTTGGAAATCTTTATATCATTTGTTTGGAAATTTTACGCCAGCTATCAGCCACACATTTTTCTTCCAGTGAAGTTCTATCTCATCCACTGAGTCATTCCTTGTACTTCTGGACCATCTGTTAAGTTGATCCAACTCTCCAGCCTATCAGAAAACTAACCATTTTTACCTCTGCTTGATTATGCTCCTGCCA